CCTCTTGCTGGATGGGGACAGTGCCTGAGAGTGTCCCCAGTGGGCTGTGAGGATGGATGCCCATCCCTACTCCCAACCTGCACTGGCTGACAGCAGGGTCCCTGGGGCTCAGAGGGGCCCCTGCCCGCCTGTTGTGCTGCTACTGTATGGCTCCGGGTGCATGTGCTGCTACTATATGGCTCCGGGTGCTGCAGACCCGCGCTTTGCCAGGCTTTCCCTGGTACAGGGCTGGCACAGAGCATCTTCCTCTCTTTCCCATGAGCCAGCCCTCACGGCGTGGTGATGGGGAAACTGAGGCAAGGGGCAGGAAGGGCACTGGCAGAAGACCCAGATCTCTCAGTCACCGTCCCCATCAACCTGCTGTGCCCACACCTCTTTTGAGACAAATTTTGCCTTCAGGTCTTAGCAGGGTCCCCTTGCCGTCGCGGGGTGAGAGGGAAACCAGGGCAGGGACTGACCCCCCGACTCTTTCTCTCCCTCCCAGGTGCTGCTGGTGACGAGGCCGCCCCCGCCAGCATGGCTCTCTACAACAACGGGGCCAATGTGCGGAAGCCTCCAACGGCTTCTCGCAGCCCAGCGCCTCGGGTACATGGCACAAGGGTGAGGAGGAGGTGTGTCTGGTGGAGCCCAGCCTGGTGAAGAAGGCTCACCGGGAAATCCTGGACCATGAGCGCAAACGGCGGGTGGAGCTGAAGTGCATGGAGCTGCAGGAGATGATGGAGGAGCAGGGGTGAGTGGCAGGGCATCAGGGCTGGGCTGGAGATAGACCCCATGGTTTGGGATCTTTCTGACCTGCTCGCACCTTGTTGTCCGCCTCTTTCCTCTCTAAAAAAACACCTTGATGTGGCAAATGTCCCCACTTGGAAGTAAATCCACTTTTGGGTGAATCAGATAGCTTTGGGGCGGACTGGTGGGTTGGTTTGTGAAGCTAAATGCCTCTAAGAGATGCAGACCTGGGAGTGCATCCACACAAGTGCATCCAAGCCCCTCCGCTTGGAAATCTGGGCTCCCAGCTCATTGTGCCAGGAAAGCCGAGGCAGGAAGGAAGGAGTGAGTTGCTCATGGTCATGCAAGCCATCAGTGCCACCCAGACTGTGCCCCGCATGCCTGGGATGGGAGATGGTCTGTCTCTGTCTCTGTCTCTCTCGTGTTGGGGAGATGAAGGAGAGCTGGGCTTTAGTCCCAGGCGAGGCTGTTTGGGTGCTCCGGTTTGTCCTGCTTTCCTTCTCTCCCTCCAATTTTGGGGTGAGAGGATGTACCCTGTCCTGCTGTGCCTCAGGCTGGGCACCGTGAGCTGCTCCCCAGACTTTGCTCTCCCCTTGGGAAGCAAAGGGCTGGGGGAAAACCCGAGGGGCCGGAGAGCATCCCTACCTGGGTGGGCAGGAGGGGCTGGGGGGGCCAGCGAGGAGACCCCCATCCCTGCTAGACCCATGGCCATGCTGCCAGCTGCCCCATAGCTCCAGCAGCAGCCAAACAGCCTGATCGCCCTGACAGCTTGCTAAAACCTGATGGATGGAGCGAATTCTTCGGCACACGCGGGCAGACGGGGACTGGTATCAGCTGGGGAGAAGGAAAATGGATTGAGGGAAGGCTTCGCCAAGGCTTTCATTAAGAGCGCAAGCGTGACCTAGAATTAAATTGTCTCACACAGACTGGAATAATGATTGTGCCTAATTTATCGTTATGGAAATAAATAAGGCTGACCTGATGCTTTGGGGAGCCCAGAGCCTCCTGTTGGGTTCCCGTGCCCTACTAGGGATCTTACTACTAGTAGTATCATTACTGCGATGGGTAATAGCAATATTGCAACCGGTATTGTTGTTATTGCTATAATTGCCTTTGCTATTATTAAGGCTATTAATAACGACGATGACGGTGATGATACACCAAAACGATAATATAATTACAGTAATAATCTTGGTCAACCTGGTTAATCCTCCGCCTGCTCTTCCCCCCATATGGGGGCTCTCTGGGGGGGCGTTACATGGGAAGCACCTTGCACCCCTGAGGTTTCTGCCTGGGCCAGGGGCCTCATGCTGGCCACGGCCTCAGGGGAGTTATTGGCAAAGGCAGGACCCCTGGGATGAACGAGGAGGTTTTGCGGGGATTTAAGCATTCCCTTGTTTCCTTAAACACGGCAGGCTGCCTGCGCCGTTATTCCCTGCCTGCAGGCTGGATTTCTTGTCTGGAAGAGAAGCGTCAGCAGTTTTTCTTTCTTTCCCAAGCCCATTCTGTGTGTTAAATGCAAAACCAAAATCCCTCCAACAGGATTATAAGCAGCGCCGGGGGGTGCAGGAAGGAAGGGGCTGGTGGGGTGCTCCTGCCTCCATCAGAGGATCGCTGCATGCAGGGAGGTTCCTCGCCTTGGCCTTGCCCCCCGCAGATTTGCTAACGGCCTGGCCACGGTGGCCCATCTGTCACCTCCTGTTTGGCCTCGCGTCCCCTCTCCGAGAGCATCGGTCGCGTTCGTAATATGCTGCAGCAAACGCTCGTCTTCTCGGGCAGACATCTTCCTGCTGCTGCTGCTGCCTGGCTGAGGTCCATGGGATGGCTGGGGCCAGCGGCTCCGTTCTTGTGGGATAAAGCCCCGCGGGCTGCACCGCCATTGAGGTACGGTGCAGAGCAGCATTTCGGGGTGCTGCCCGGTTTTCAGAACCCCCCGTGCCCAGATAGGGTGCAAGGCGAGGGGAAAAAGCTGGGCTGTCTGTGCCCGGTGAGCAACCCTCCTCCTGCACGGGAGTCCTAGCCAGCTGGGGAATTAATGAGAGCCTTTCAGTGCAAATGAGCTCGTTAATATTAATCCCCCTCTCCTTGCTCTTCCCCTTCATGGGCATTGCTGGGGGAGTGGGTGCTGCCACATGCCCCTCTGCACCCAAAGGCACCCAGGAGCACCCATAGCGCTGCAAGGGGCTTCACTGGCCCCAGCGTGGGCTCTGCAAGGTGTCAGCCTTGGGGACCGCAGGGCTCGGTCAGGCTGTGACACTCAGTTTTCTGGGCTCCTTAGCGGTGATGCTGATGGGACGTGATGGCGGGGATGGGCCACGAGCAGCCCCTGTAGAGGGTGTGGGTGAGGACAGGGATGCTCACAAAGCCTGACACCTTCCCTCCCAGGGTGACAGCGTGGGGGTGACATGGGATCCCCTCCCTTTGCCCTGTCCCCAGAGAGGATACCGATAGCACCGCAGGTCCCTCCACCGCATCCCTCCATTTGGATGGTTTTGGTCAAGGGAGATGCTCAGGTGCCCTTGTGCAGCCATGGAATGCGGCACAGGGCTGCCTGCCCAGGGCTGTCACCTGTCCCTCCCTAGGGACACCTCGGGGACGGCTGGAGCGCCGTGGTTTGCCGCGGTTGTTCTCAGATGCCAGGGACAAAGTGATTAGTGTCTCTCATTAATAACCCTGCAGCGGCCTGAGTCAGCATTCGGTGCTAGTGCAGAGTTGGCTCGGCTGCCGGGGCCCCGGCGCAGCGCAGGGACGAGCAAGGGAGGCTCACGATGGGACGAAGGCACCAAGCGTGAACACCAGCATCACTGGCTCCGATGCTACCACTGCTGGGGTGGCTTGATGGGGATGTGCCCCAAAACCTGGGACAGTGGTGGGGAATGGCAACTTCATGGTCATCCTCTTCTCTTACCCCTTCCTGATGTCCCTTCCTCTGCCAAGCACTGCTGGGAGGGGCAAGCAAGAGAAAGGAGGGCATGGAGGGTGGTGGCAGGGGACCAAGCAGAGGGACCTGCTCCCCTCCAGGTCCGAATGAGTGTCACCATGCCACCTCTCCTTGTGACCAGCCCCTTAGGCCACATGTTGCTCCCAAAGGTATGGAGGTCCTCAACAGATCCCTGGGGAGCCCACGCTCCAGCCACGGCAACCCTGACACCGCGTCTTTGCCCATCCAGGTACTCCGAAGAGGAGATCCGGCAGAAAGTGGGGACCTTTCGGCAAATGCTGATGGAGAAGGAAGGGGTGCTGACCAGGGAGGACCAGCATGGGCGCCAAATGTGAGTGAGGCAGCTCCGAGTTGGCCTGTTTGTTTGTCCTGCCCATCTCTCATCCCAGAGAGGCACGTCCCAGACTGCCTCCAGGTATCAGTGGGTGGGTGGGTGGATGGATAGGGAGAGGGTATATATAGGGATGGTGGGATAGTTGGATGGACATAGAGAGGGTATGTAGGGTTGGATGGATGGATGACTGGTTGGTTGGCCGATTGGTTTGATGGTTGGTTGGTTGATTTGATGGTTGGTTGGTTGGTCTGTTGGTCGGTTTGTTGTTTGGAAACAGGGTTTGGCTCTCTGAGGCAGTATCCTACCTCTGGAGAGGTTGGTTGAGGTTGTTCTTCAGTGGTCTTTTGGAGACCTCAGGGTGCTGTACAGAGAGGCCAGCATTGCAATGCTCCTGTCCCAGATGATGAAACCAAAATGCAGAAGGTCTCAGTGCTTGCCTCACGCCACCAGCCAGTGGCAGAGACCAAGCCACAGGTTTGCTGTACCTCACCTCTGCCTGCTCCTGCCTCTTCGGGTCACCTCTCCTGCTCTCCCCAGGGCTGAAATTGCAGCTTCTGCCTCCAGCCAGACAAGGGCACTGGTTTCCAGTCCTTGCTCTTAACTCCATAATGCAGAATACTCCTCCTGTCTCCGAGTGTGAAGCTGGGGTAACTCAGCTCGGCTAGTGATGGTTCAAAAAAAAATGCTGTTCTGTAACCCTAGAAATATTAGTGTTAGCAATAATAATCATTAATAACAGTAATAATTTCTGTTGCAAGTGGCCCAGGCTGGATAGGCAGGGCTGGAGCCTGCTTCTCACCTGGGTAGACCCAATGCCTGTGTCTCCATCACGCTGGAGTGACCCCAAGGAGCCACACAGAGGAAGCTTCTCCAAAGAGCTCCTGCCCCTCACTTCTGCCTCCTAATCACTCCTCACACTGCCTGGTCCCTGGGGGCTGCTTCTGCCCCAGGGGGGCCTTGGGGCTCAGCTTAGGTGTCCAAAGCAGCCCAGCTCCTGCTGGGGACGTGCCACTTGCTCCTCCTGCCCCGCATGGGACTGTCCCCAGCCTCACGAGGGTCCACCCTGGCTCAGTGATGATTTATCTGCACGATGCTTAATGGCCCAGGCAGCGTGGCTGGCCCGGCGCGCACCATCCATCAGTCTGGAAACCAGGTCACTTGGGACAGGAATAGATGCTGCAGGTTCACTGAATATTAATGCTTCATTAGGGTCAGGAAATCAGGGCGAGGGGGGGAGGCAGGGAAGCCGTGGCGGAGGGGAGAGCCTTCCTCCCACCGCGCTGCCGGCACAGCAGGCAGGGAGGGACACGGCTCGGCTGTGCCCAGCCTGGGATGGGGCTCATGGCCCATTCGGGGTCCTCCTCCAGGCAGCAAAAACCAAGACCTGGGGAAAACCAACCTGCCCAGGTCACCGAGCATCAAGCCCAACGTGCTAACAAGTAGCCTTTGCCAGCGGGGGCATAAGTCATCTCCAGGGCATCTTCCTGGGCAGGCTCGTTAGGGCTGGCCCTGTAACGAGCACACAGGGAAGCTGAAGGTACATTAAGGTTACCCAGGCAGCCCGAGCTGTCACCTTTGCAGGCTTGCTTTTGCAAAAGGAGAGGTAATCATTAAAGATTAGCCCAGGGGCTATAAATAATTGTGCTGAGCTGGAAGGAGCAGTCTCAAAGCAAAGGATTGCTCGGAGGAGAGCAAAGCCGGAGGCACTTGGAGGAGGCTGGTAGGAGCCAGGTCCAAAGGAGGTGGCTCTTCAAGCAGCGGGGACCTGAGCTGCCAAAGTCCCTGCCAAAGGATGTCTTGGGTGTAAAAGGTTGAAGAGAGTGGACAACGGGGGTTAAATAAACTTTAAATAAAGAGCCTCAGTCCTTGTAGTGGCTGGGAGAGTCCTCAGCAAAACGTCTCATGGGCTGGTCCTGCTTCAGCATCTCTCTGGACTCTTACAGCTTGGTCTTTGGCTGCCGGGCCTAGGAGTCTGAACCAGCTGGTCTTGTTTCAAAGCAGATGCAACAGCTCAGCATCATCTGCAAAACTCCCCAGGGGAAACTGAGGCACTGAGCACAGCCGTGACCACCTGAGTCCCTGGCTTACTCTCTGCGCTCTTCCAGCTCCTGTCTCTGTGCGTGCACAACCCAGTGATACAGCCGGGTCCCCAAGGAGTAGCTGCTTGATAGCCAGGCTGGTGGGATTGAAAATGAACGCGAGCGTGTGCTGGGCAGGGAGGGATAATTGGGGCAGCACAAGCCTGTCTTGAGCCGCTGAGCACAGCTAATGGGTGAGATGCTGGCAGCAGGCTCTGGCGTGCAGCACTGCCTGCTCACAGAGCAGAGTCCAACAGGGAATTATCCCTGCTTGCTCCTCTCTTTTCCTCTTGTCTTCCCCTTCCCACGGTTGGGTGGGTGGTTGAAAGGCCGTTCCTGCCCTTGGGGCATGGCCAAAGCAGGAGTCACTTGGAGAGGACCCAGAAAGCCATGGCTGCGGTGCAGAAAGGACGCTGAGACCCGCTTGAGCGATCATCCACGGTCAGGAGGAGGATACCTCGCTTGTAGTTTTGGTTCAAACTATTTTTAATTGGGTTAAACAGCCCAGGGCCTGCCTGTAGCCAGGGATGCCAACACGTGCTGCTCTCAGATCTGCCGTCTGGGGCTGGGAACATCCCTTCTCTTGGCCGGAGCTGCTGGCCGGGCTGCCAAGGGACCGATGCTGTGGGGGCCGCGCTTCTCCACCAGCATCCCTGACCGAATGCCTCTGGGCTGGGAAGGGCGGAGGAGCCCACGTTGGGTTTCCGAAGGCAAATCTCCCTTGGGAAGCAAGTGCCTGGGCTGATGTGATGCTGGGCACAGCCCCATCCGTTACGGTTCCCTCCAGAGCACCTGGATGGCCATGTCCCTCCTGGGGTGAGATGTCCTACGTCCCCCAAGAACAAACGAGAGGCTCCCAGTGGGGTTTGATGCTGCTCCTGGGGCTGATGGCAGGGGAGGATTGCGGAGGCGGAGGGCGGCAGGGAAAGGCTGGGCAGGGA